CACACACACACACACACACACACACACACACACACACACACACACACACACACACACACTCAGCTCTTTGTAATGTCTGTACAAAGCTAACATTCACACATCAGAGACTGATCAGTGCTTTAAAACACACTCATCACTGATGAGACATCAGAGGCGGGGTGGGGGGGGCGGGGAATTGAACCGCCAACTCTCTGGTTAGAGGGATGGGAGGGTTCTGTGTCCTGCTCAGGGACACTCCAACATGTGACTGAATGGTGGGGAATTAAACCACCAACTGTCTGATTAGAGAACGATTCTCTTCAGCCGCCCTGTGTTCTGACTGCTTTACTCACATCAGCTTTAATTTGTTATAATTGTTAGAATCACAGGTTTACAGTTCAGGTCCAAAACAAGCTTCCAGTAGATTTATTTAATTCTATCTTCAGCTTCAGCCCTATTCACACAGGATAAGAATCATCTGGAGACCCCATGTAATAAATAAATTACTCCCTGACGTCTGTGTTTTATGTGGTGCATTCRYACRKGATAACCAACGCCTGAGGTTTTCCTTAAATTTACAGACATCTCCTGAATGTGACGTTGAAGCTGGTTAGTTGTTGTTTACTCAGTTGAACACGGCGTTGAACGGACGTTAAAAAACAATATTCATCAAGTTATCCACTTTTTACGCTCTTCTCTCCTCCTGCTTACAGCAGGCAGTCATCTCCACGGCCGACAGACCCCACATGTGGGTATGAGTGGTACGGATGTTTTGGAAAAATGATAGATTTTTGAGGCTCATCRGACAGGKAAACGTCCAAAGGGGTCGACGTGTTTGAACACCTTCACAGTATGGCAAGCCGTAGAGGACATACTCAGGCGTATATGCGTTCGCGTGTTATTTATGTGACTGAGTGTTCAGATTCACAACACGTTTGCATTTAAAAACACGCTGCAGCACGTAAATTACAGGTCAAATCGGGCGTGAATATACGCCTGATTTATGTCCCCAACGGCCAACCATATCTCAGCTGGCGAGGGGGCRTGCGCCCACCACGAGTGGCTACCCAAAGCCTGCTGCGCTACGGCCACAGCTCCACACTCAGCATCAACCAGCAGGCTACACACASAAAAAATAATTATTCTTACCGCACAGCGAGCCACCATTTGCATCTGATTTTGCTCCCTGTCTTCAGCCCTKTTTTTATGGCGCACAYAATGTGTCGGGTTTTCCCGGCCCGGGACACAAAGGTTTTCAGTGCACTCCAATCCAGCCTCCAGTCTTCACCTAAAGTAAATAAAAATACACCAAGGAAACCAAAGCTGCCTAATTACATATGGGATTCAGTCCATTCCTGTCCAAATCACAGAGATGCCTGTTCACATTGGATTAATATCATCACAGGACCTCAGARTTTAGTGAATTATTGTAGGTAATTTGTGGAGGAATTTTTACTTTACAAATTACTGACATGGTTGATTCTCACAGGATTAACAACACGGATAATCTCTGTAATTATAAATAGCATGGGGTCCCCAGGTAAAACTAATCCCATCAAACTTTTCACAAGTTGTCATAAGTTTGTCTGTTATAGTGCGACAGGGTCTTCACACACGAAGTTTGTATCATGAGTGACTGAGCTACTTCCACAACAAACAGTAGCTCAATAAGAACCAAACATAACCATTTTGTGGGGACCAGCTTAAATTGTGTTGACTTTTTTGAGTTTAATTAGTTGTAGATAAACATACAGTTAGTACACATAGGTGACATTTCAGTTTGCACCACCCTTCTGTCTGTTTTCTGTCCCCCCAGACCCAGCAGGTTGAGGCCGATGGCTGTATGTGATGAGCCTGGTTCTGGTTCTGCTGGAGGTTTCTTCCTGTTAGTTTTTCCTCTCCACTGTCACCGATGTGCTGCTCAGAATGGAGACTGTGATGAAGTGAAGACTCAACACAATCTGATGCTTCTTTAGATCGATGAGACCTGAAACCACATTTATTGTGACTTGGATAAATAAACTGAATTGGAATGAGTTGAAGTGTCGCATTAGAAAAGCTTGGTTTAGTAACACTCTAACACTAACAAAGGTTCATGGAAATGTCCTTAAGTTCATGAGACATTTTGTTAACACATACACACAGACACAGACATCATGTCTGCTTCTGCCTGCTGGTGCTGAATAACAGGCAGTTTAATGATTTTTCTCGCTAACATAAAAGGTACCAGGACCATAGAACAGCTGTATAAAATCATTTCTTTTCCAGCTGTAGTGATCTTCATTGTCATCAAGGMAACATAAAAACAGAAAGTCATTGGAAAACAGGCTCACTTCATGCGATGGTGAGCTGTGATGGTTAGGAGGTTTTCAGAGTAGCTTCGTTTTACATTAAATATAAAAACACTAAAATAGTTCCTGCCTTAAGTGTGAGYTTTTTGTCTTATTTGTTGTTGTTTGGCTCTTTCTTGCAGCTCCCCATTCTGGCGTCCTCAGTTGTCAGTCTTTATTTCCTGGAGCTGACGGACATTTTCCAACCGGTGCATTCTGGGTACAGTTGTAACGACCGTAGTCTGTCACTTCCCTACATCCTGCCCAGACAGGAAGTCTGCCCCCTGCCTTTGCTCTTCAGCTTGGCCTTTGCTGCTCCAACTGTCACTGTAAGTTAGCCGTCACCTTCTTCACACCAAAACGTTTTGTTAACTCACTTATAAGAACTGTGTTTGTAACAACTGATGCAGATCACCACCGAAATGTAATGATTTGTTTTTTRTGACGGCCTCAACATTTCCTGACAATTCCATAAAAATCTGTTCATGAACTTCGAGTAAATGTGTGCGCAGACGAACCAAACTAAAACACAACCTCCCTGGTGGAGGTAGCGATGTGAAATTAAAAACAGCTGACCGAGAAGCACTTTTTAGCAGAGCGTGACACAGCGGCAGGTGCTACTGCTCTGTAGCCACACCCCCTGCAGGTGTCAGCTAAAGCAGGCAGAATAAAGATTGATGACATTTTCAAACACACCTCCAGAAATTAGCAGCTAAATAATAAAAATAAAGTTAAGAAGGAGCTTTAGTGCTTCAAGTTATTTTTTATTATTATTGTGAACTTTTGTGAACCTTCCTCTGCCCCTCTGCCACGTGGGGTTCCCCAGGGCTCTGTCCTAGGTCCTTTGTTCTTTTCTTTGTATCTCCTTCCTTTAGGTTTGATTTTTAGGAAACACAGCATCTCCTTTCACTGTTATGCTGATGATTGCCAAATCTACTGTGTGTGTCTCTAAAACGAGTTGATGTCTGGTCTGTTAAACCTCTTTTATCATCTCTAGAGGATCTTAAAGTTTGGGAGGCCCTAAACTTTCTGCATTTTAATGAAAAAAAGACTGAGGTACTTATTTTTGGACCCAGTGGAGCATGACAGAGTCCTCCAGTTGACTTAGACCTCCTAGCAATGTTGCCTCAGGTCCACAGCTACGGACCTTGGTTTTAGGATGSACAGTGATTTTAAACTCAACAATCAAAGGCCACAGTGAAATCTGGTTTTTATCATTTACAGAGAATAGCAAAGATAAACTTTACACTGCCAAGACACCAGTTTGAAACAGTAATCCACGCCTTCATTACATCACAGCTGGATTACTGTAATTCTCTTTATTTTGGTGTCAGTCAGTCATCCCTCACACGCTGCAGCTGGTGCAAACTGCTGCTGCACATCTTGTACCAGGAACACGGAGGAGAGATCACATTAGCCCTGTCCTGCTTCTCTCCACAGGCTGCCTGTGTCTTTTAGAGTTTCTTTTAAAAGTCTTGAGTCTTTAAGGGTTTAAACAGCCTGATTTAACAGAGCTCCTCCACCGGTGCACTCCCTCTGGGTCCCTCAGGTCTGCTGACCAGCTGATCCTGGTCAGTCCCACCTGTAAGCAGAAGCTTAGAGGAGACTGGACCTTCTCTGTTGGTGGCTTTAAGATCTGGAACACCTTACTGTTGCACATCCAGCAGAACTACTCACTGTCCATTTTCAAGACCTGTCTGTAAACTTACTTTTACTCATTGACCTTCAACCCAACTGAGACTTGATTTTACTTCATTTTTTTATTGGTATTGATCTTATCTGTCTAACTGTGTTTTTATGCTATTTTGATC